TGCTGCTTGCAGCTTTAATTTAAACATGTTTTTTTATTATAGCGGTAGTGGTAATTCCACCTTTTCAGCTCTTAAATGTTTATTTTTGCTACGTATATATTTTTTCCTGTTGGTTTTATTATTGTTGTTTTATAATGTTATATGGTATTGTCAAAAATGTCCTGTTACTGCACGATAGCAAGCGCTATACCAGGGATAGGCCTGTAATAGGTCTCTGTGTGCTTAACTGTGTTTCCTGTCTGTCCCTTACAGGACTGATTGACTACAACTTCCACTGTTTCAAGAATGCCATCCAGGAGGTTTTTGATGTTCGAGTAAAAGTTCAACAAAACCGCAAACTCCTCAGTCAGAGGAGGTGGAGCAAACTCTCTATGACCAATGGCACACTCAGCAACCCTCACTGAGGACTGATGACATCACATCAGACAGCCAAATGTGGCACCCTGATGAATCCAGCAGACGCTTTCCTTATTCAAAAGGAACACATTAAGTTTTTTTTATCTTACTTGGTATTGTTCAGTCTGTTCAATCCACATCAGCTCTGTCCTCAGTGCCCTGCCGTCTCTGTCCTCAGAAGCAGTTGTCTGTCAGCAGCAAAGAGGACAAACAGTCCGAATACAACAACGAATAAAACAAACAGACTGAATAAATGTACTAGACAACAGGTTTCCTTTTTTTTTTCAAGTAGGCTCCAAAAGAAGTATAGAAAATTCATTGATTTTATTCTCCTGCCCTCAGTAGCAGGCGGGGGTAATCTGCTTAGAATGAAAACAGAAAGCTCATCGCAAAACTGGGGGGTCTTGATCAATCATTACAGATACCCTTAATAAGCACACAACACACTATAAATCGAAATAAGTCCATTTAACAAAAACAAATCTTGAAACTGATTACATTGAACATTTAAAGTAAAACTAACTCAATTTTGTAAGTTAAAGGAACATTCTTGATTAAGTAGCTTTAGTAATTTTAAATGACACTGACCTAATTTTTATTTGTACTGTGAAAACAAAATACCTAGTAAGAAGCAGTTAATCAATAATGTTGCTGTAACCTACAAAACTAAGTTATTGTCACTTAAAATTAAACAACTGAGTTTGTGTTATGTGTTTTTGAGTTAAAATAACTTATTGCATTACCTTAACATTAGGAGATGTATGTGATTTGAGAAACTGTTTGTGCTTCACTCAACATGCCACAGAAAAAATGCACTCATCTGTAAGAAACATGGGCAGTCCTGTAGTGATTTGTTTGTCTCAAAATCAGTAAATATAACCAAATTTTGAATAAATAACAAGAAAATGCAAATGAATGCTTGTTTCCATCCACTACTGTTAAGCGATTATTAGGAGTCGGTTCATTGAGATAAGCAATAGGTGGCGTCGGAAAACCAGAAAAAGAGGGCGCAGCAAGATGATGTAATTTAAAGGGTGTCAGTGGACAGTGAAAAAGAAATATTGTTATATAGTTTATGCATTAATGTGAGGAAGGTTCCATCAGATTTGTGTGCATCATGTTTTCATTTTCCATTAGAATTAATCTTAATTATTGAGAAAGACAAAAACAACTTCAACTGAGCGTACAAAAACTTTTTTGCCAAGTTGAGAAAGTTTACTGTTTCCATCAAACTATTACAATGTGATACTTAAAAATATACATCATAATACGTTGCTGGAAACACGGCTACTGTGTTTCTTTATTTTGATTATTTTAGTTTCTGTATTTTAGGCAGAACACTAGGTTTTAACCATTTATTGCAACAATATATATTTTTGTTTGGCGGTGTGACTGTGCTCATGTGATGCAGTAAGGATGCAGAGCTCAGCATAGTTGAATGCAGACTGAATGCACAGCAAATGGTTAAATAGATGTCTGTTAAGAGAGGTCGTGGACCACATGATTCCATCCATAGGGAAAATGTGACTATAAAATGACTCCTGTGCCTGTCTGTATTACCATGAGGCTGCGTGGGTCACCTTTAGACACCACATCACTCCTGAGTGATCTGAGAGATGGTCTGTGGAGAGCAGTGCTACATGCACTGCAGCATATACAGTGTTTCCCACAGGATTTTGTGAGACTATGGTGGGTGGATGTCGGACCCTCTAGGGGGGTCCGGGGGCATGCTCCCCCAGAAGATTTTTTTTTACATTTTAAAGTTAAATGCATCAATCTGGTGCACTTTGAAAGCAAAATTAAGAGGCTAGATCTATGAAGAACTGTGTGCTCTTGTAAACAATTTAATCATGGGAACATTGGTTATATAGATGACGAATTTTGGGAAAACACAAAATCAACTAGAGCATACATCTGAGCATCAAAAGAAAATTAAGAAAAAGTGGGTTAAGCCTGTTGTACGAACTATTGTTTAATTTTTAGCAAAAAGAATAATAAATAATTAAATGTTCAGCTAAATTGTTAATAAAAAAATAAATTGGATTCGGAGGGTAGCATCAGTCAATCGTCGGTTTTAGTTGCAGGCCAGTTTTAAGGGAAGACGATGGCAGCAAAAACAGCATTTTGGGTTTATTTTGCTCCATAACATGTCTGCTTTCAGACTAGTGGACAAGAAAACATCAAAATTCACACATTTCTACAAACTCTCCCTACATCCCTATTTGCAAACTTTGCACCCCGAATTTGGACATTTAATTTTCCTGGGCTTTGAAAAAATCAGTTCTAATGCTGTTTGGTAGTTAAATTCCTCTGGACTCGGCCCATTGATGGAGACCCTCAGGCAGCCAGGTGCTCTCCTTGCAGCCTGTTACGAAGGTCTGATTTGACCTGAAAATGAAGGTAACTACAATTAGCCAAATGAATGAAAATATTTTGAGCACACTGCTCTTTTAGTTAAGAAGAGTGTGCTTTCTGAACCGTCTCTGGTCATAACATTAACGTTAACCGCCACAGTCTAAGTAATTAACGGGAAACACTGAGTGTCTTATATGGAATTCAGGATACTAAAGCCATGGAGTTTTCTGTGAAAAGCTAGCCTAACCCACTCCCGGCCCTACAGCCCCAAACTTTAGCCTCAAATTGATTTGACCTGGGCTCTGGCTTTAGCTTCACATTTAGCTCCCTCCCAACCCGGCAACCCCCCGCCCAGCCCTCCGTCCCCATGCTGTCTCGTTTAGCTTCGATGCACGGGGTTTCATTACCTCTGCCTTAGTCAAATGGCTGGGAGCT